CCAGCAAGAGCTGCCTCTTTTAAGTCAGTATTTACTGGTGTGGAAGTTCCTGAGGAGAAGGAAAATCCTGTGAGTGAAATTCAGCAATATTGAGGGTGTCAGCAAGGAGCCCAAAAGTGCTTTGCCCGAGAGGGTGCTGTCTCCCTGTGTGGGCCCCGGGAGCGCGTGCAGAGGGGTCCCGCTCCCACACCAGCAGAGTGAGTCCTTCGTGCGTTGCTCTGGAAGGTGCCTTTGGATAGTTGTGGGGTTTTGCAATTGGGATGATCAGATTTGCCGAGCAGAATTAAGCAGGAAAATTTGAAACTTTTCTGCAAGTAAAAATCACACCTGATGCCAAGCCCACCAGTTAGTCAAGAGTAAACACGGACAAGCACGGAGCAACTGCGTCTCCTGATTAGAGCCGTTTTGTGGAAGACTGAAGGCTTAGGAATTCAAACTGTAGTTTTGAACTAAAAGCTCCAAAGCTCAGTGGAAGATTGCCAGCTGCTGGAAGGTGCTCCTCCTGCCATTTCTATGTCAGATAAAATGCAATAGGACGATTTGTCCTTGAAATTTCAATTAAAAATCGTTCATTGTCTTGCAATTTAACCACTGTTCTTGCAATGGCTATGCCACACTGGACTTGTCTCCTTCTGCAGCTTTCTTTCAGCCTGTGCTGAGGGTGCTGTTACATCTGAGTTTGCTGTAAACTATGAAATGTCTCAGAGAAAATCTGAAATGAGAGAACTGGAGAAAGAAGTGGTGCCTGTGGCTTTACATCAAGGATGAAATGACGTGCTCTCCCCTTCCCTTTTCTGCAGAAATGACTGGTCAGCGACAGTGTCTCCCTGGGACAGTGGCTGGGTGGGAGTAGGCTTGAACACAATCAGGAACTTCGCTACGATCAATAAGATTTTGAGACTGAAGGCTGAGCAGCAGTGGGAAGGCCGTGTACTGAAGGGGTTATGTTCCTGGTTTTGCCATACGTGATACGTGCAGAGGTAAGTCATACTGACTCGCATCTGCTGGTCTCTGTCAAGGTTTGGACTGTGCTGATGGAGGAAAAAAATCGTGTATGTATTAAAGGTCACTCTTGGTGAGAAGAGCTGCCTCCGTGAGCCTCACAGCACCGCTCCTGGGTGTAAAAGCTGTATAAAACCCACTCTTCCACGGGAGGTGAATGTAATCCCGAGACAGAGCACACACTCTGAGCAGCTCTCCCTCGTGAGCCTCTAGAGACACGTTGTGTTGGTGCCTCGTGTGCTGTGTCAGGAGAGCACCAAGGGAAAATAGGCGAGCTTTGTGTGAAGAACAAGGCAGCTGCTGTGGAGCTATATGTAACTGCAGTTTAAAAACAACCAATTAAATGATGTATCTTGGCTGTCTTATACCCAAGAAATGCAGTTGAGATGATAGCTGTTCCACAGAGAGGGGCAGAATGTCCCCATTGAAGGAGAGGTTAAAAAATTATTGTTATTAAATTGGTATGTTTTCTGTCATGGGCCTTCAGAGATAAAGTGTGCTTCAACACACAACGTAATCCAGCTGTGTAATGACTTTGTCTGCTAAGGGAGGAGCGCTGGAGACACCCTTCAGACACTGCGTGCTACGTACTTGGATCTGTCTCCATGCCAGATGAAATGGAAGCTCCTGCACGTCAGGAAGATGCAGACTGGTTTCTTATTTCACTGCTCCTCAAGAAGGATCTAAAGATAGTGGTGACTGTTCCCCTCAGCCAAGCGTAAGGGTGCCAACACTGGTGAGTAGAGCTTATACACAAATCATGTTTGAAATACTTCTGATGTGTTTTGCCAGGGTATCACATTAAGCAACACGACCTACTGGCATGGTGTTTGGATACTGGAGAAGGCTTCATTCACACAGCCATTGTGGAGCAGCACCTCTTTTGGAACGTACGTAGCGCAGTGTCAGCAGCGAGTTCTCCGTGCTCTGCTATTGCACAAAGGCTTCTGAGCAAGGCTGAAAGACAACTTTACATCTTTTCTCTGTTGACTGATTTGGCCTCCTAGCAGCAGCTGGCTCTGGTCCCACCCCCAGCAGCCCCCTGCGCCCCTCTGGGAGCGCTCAGCTCAGCTGCGGTGACAGTTCAGCTGCTGCTCGTGAAGCAGCTTCTGAACTGGTGCAGTCACAGCTCTGGTCGGTGATGGTGAACTGGTTACAATTTCCAGTTTTGTGCCTGTGCCAGTTCTAGAGTCTGACAAACAGTTCAGTTAGGCTGTGCAGTCATGTCGCTGCTTTATGAGCAGCTGCAGTCGGTCCCTGCCGCGCTCTCTGCAGCAGTGGCAGGGGCCGCGACAGCCAGCTGACTTCAGTACGCCTGCAGCCGGCACACACCCCGGCGGGATCAAAACGGAGCGTGGTACTGGCTAGGAACTCCCTTCACTGCTTCGGTGTTTGTAGTTTTAAAGGAACTAAACATCGTGCGAGGTCCCTTCAGCCCTATGGGGTGAGCACCGCTCACCAGCAAGGCCATTAATACCGGTTTAACAAGTACGCAGCCGTACTGCCTCTGCACCTGTGCAGTGACGTACTCCTTTGTGCCGCTAGCGTGTCACACCAGCACTGTCCAGCTAGCCGGCCTCTCTCTCTAGATGTATGTAAAGTTCATTTTCACAACTGAAGAAGCTTGAAATACCTAGAAATACCTAGAAACTGTTCAGGAGAGGTCACTCGCTGAACTGAGCAGGCCGAGCTGAACTCAATCCTACGTATATTTGTGACGACGGGTCTGTTTTTTGAAACTAAAATTCTGGTTTGTATTAAATTAGCACAAATAATGTGTGTGCGTAGGGGCGAGATTACAAATGCATAGCTGGAAGTTGCTCATGGAAAAAGATAAGCCATTACAAATAGTATAGGACTTAATAATGATATGAAGTGTGTGTATAGTCCAGTTTTTCTAGGCCATGTTGCTCCCCTTTTGTGCAAAATTACTGCTTGCCACTAATTAGAAAAATCATGGGGTAGGAAAAAAAAAATACTGTATTTTTCCTTTTACCAAGTAGAAAATAGACCTCTCTCTGAGTTACTGACCTGAAAGATAGCAATGCTGCTTGTCCCGTTTCACGTAGTCCCCAAAATGTTGATGTAGGGATGACTTTTTCCTGAAAGGAAACCAGCTCCCTCCAGAAAGCAGACTGAGAGGCGTGTGAGGCTTGTTGTAGTTGGCCTCCCTCCCAAATGCTCTTAAAGCATGTATTTAGGCTGCTTTCCACGGGTATTTAGAGAGGGATGTTTTTCAGATGTGTTAAACTAATCATTCTTGATGTGTTCTCATGGAATCTCCCACACCCCAAAAATAGCCGTTTACTTTAACAATGCACATGTAAGTCATGCCGGCTTTTACAAACCCTTTAGGCACTGCTAATGTAAGAGTAACTTTGTATCTCGTTATTTTTAGGAGTTCCTTTTTTTATTTTGGAGACCCCTCTACTACACCCTGAGTTGAAATACCTCTGCAGGCTCTTGCCTGGTTCACCCACCTTTCTGAACATCAGGTAAGTAGAACACTTCTTTTTAAGGCTTAACTGTCTCCAGTCAAATGAAGGGAGTGACCATCTATTGAAAAGCTGCTCACCCAAAACAGGAGACCATGCTTGTCTGCGTTTGAAATACAGCTGTCTTCTTTAGGTTCTCTAGGTAAAACTTAAAAGAAGTTGAGGGACAAGACAAAAAAGAAAACTGACATTGGTCTTTTCATCCACAGTACAGAACTGCTGGCCTAGCTGGTGTTTTCCAAACCGGGAACTGCTCCTGGTGAGCTGCTTCAGCCCCACGTGGAGAGCACCGCTGGGCGCCCCCCGCAGTGACCCCATCCCTGGGCAGTGGCCAGAGCTGTCCTGTTGCCGGGGGTATGTCTGTCCGACTCTGCCCAGCGGCAAAGACCGTTTCTTGACCAACTCCCAAACTTGTCAGGGAAAGACCCCACCAGCCTCCAGCTACACCAGCCCCTTCAGTGGGGTAACGCTCCCGAGCGCCATGGGTTTCCTCCGACGGAAAACACGTCGCAAACAGCAGTCTGTTCCTGCTTCTCAGCCGTGAAGTATAGGAACCAATCTCCTCTCTCACCGAGCAATACAGAAGGGTACGTACACACCTGTGATTTAAGAGCACTTTATTGTTCTTTAAGGCTACTTTTAAGTACAAAAAAAAAAAGATGGCCTGCCAAACCTTTTTTTTTTCCAGGTGAAACAAGGCCACAAAAGAATGGTATATTACAGATTTACAAACACAGAGAGAATCTTTCCAACTGAACTGTAGATAACCTGGCTCTGTGAAGAAACTTCACCACGTCTCGTGATGGTGAGTTCAGTTTAGTTTCCTTCCACCTCCCCCCAACCCTTTGGCTTTCGTGACATTATTGTGTCTAATATATGTTTTCCTGGACATATCACATTAAATCTTTATTGCCCTCAAATCCATTTACCTATCTCAGATAAGTAAATGTAACCTTGTAAAACTGCTATTATTGAAAATATTAGCTTTAAAAACATTATCTTATTTGTGTTTACAAAGAAATATAGGAGTCACATTTTCCACAGAGTCCATCTACAGTATTAGTATTTTACTGTTACAATGCTCAGTAGCCTGTAGCAATAACAAACTAGTGGCTATTAATGCTAATGCAGTGTTCTCATAGAATAACTGTGTTCCTGCACTTTTACTGTATTACCGACAAATCTACAACAAAAAAAAGATCAACTTTTTTCTCCAAACAAAAAAAAAATGAATGATTACAATAAAGGAAAGGGAAAAATTAAATAGCTACATATCATTAACAAATTAATTGTTCCTCAAAAAATACCTACAAATTTCTCTGTACATTCTTTACGCACAGCGTAACGATGGTCTTAAAGTTACCTATATAAAAAAGTGTTCTTTTAACAATCTTCCTACAGAGAGTAGGGGACTGAATGCCAAAGCAAGTAAGCGTTGACTACCCAGTAAGATGGTAGTGAAATGTGTAAAACTGGGGGCTTCGGTGGTTTTTTTTTATTTTTAATTTTTTTAAAGAAAATTGAGCAGCCACCTTCTCAACAAGAGTAAGAGCCAATCTCCCGATCTCTTTCTACCCTGCACCTTTTCCAAATTAAATAGCTTAACTTTAAAAAAGAAACATAAAATAAAAGCCACCATGGACCCAATACTGTAACATAGTCCATAATACATCACGTGTAGTTCATCTTCCAACTAGTTCTACCTTCCTACACCGAACCAATCGCTTCAGGTAACCCAGTATGAAAAAAGCCCTAGTTGCAACTGTACTGGGAAGATGGAATGTATGGGGGAGAGCAGTTACACTTAACAAGAAGAAGAGAAGCTCTTAGTACTAGCACAGCTGTGGTTTTACGCCTGCCTCTACTGCCTAATTTCTAGTTAGTAGCTATTAATATAGCAAATGATAATAAATGCAGTAATACCTGTATAAAGTTTTCTAATGGAGGAATGTATGCTGCAACTTGGCATAGGTTTATGAATAAGCTTAAAAAAATTAAAGATCATATTTCACAAACTGTAACAATCTGTTGTCCAGCCAAGATACGTAACGGTAGCAGTTTCTGCAGCTAGTTAAAGGTGGATTACACAGACTTAAGTTTAGGAAGCAAATTACTGCTGAGCAGACAGAGCTGCAGACAGAAACAATTAGTCATGCGCAAAGCTATAGCATCCTGTACCACGCATCATCTATCTCTACACTGCGTCATTTGAGGCCTGTCCTGAGGCTGTCCTCTTTTGCTGGCTGCTACTAAAGTGAATATCAAATACAAATATCATAGAGTACAACTGTACCAGCAGTAAGTATATCTAGGATTGTTACTGACAAAAATAAACTAATTCTGAAGAAAAGCTAATAAGTATTATGATTCTTACTGTCTATACATTAATAGATACCAGCTATTTTTCATAAAACATGCATCGTTAAGCACTATTGAACCCTCCAACCTCAGCTCTATTCTAACAAACTGCAGTGTTTAGGAAAAAATGCCCGTGTTCTGTAAAGTATGCAGTCCAGTTGCAAGCACTAAGCACCTGAAATCTAAAGAGAGAAAGACCTATAACCTGTATGAGACTTCCCCTTCCAAAGCTGTTTTGCTTTAAGAAAAAAATCAAACTGATACAGAAATGTCATCCTTAAACCCTTTTTTCAGCAGTTTGCCCTCAAAATGTTAGCATCTTCCAGAAAGTTGCTATGCAACTTCAGTCCTCCTCCAATAGTGCAAATCATACATGACAGTTCTTTTCAAGTATATACATACAAAATTACTTCACAGAGGGAAAAAAAAAAAAGGCAACGTAAGCAAACCAGACAAATTCTAGTCTCAAGCTAATAAAAGCAAAAAGCATTTGGGTCAACCAACTAAGTGTAATGGCTTTTGTGGATTAGCGTGCATTATTTTTCTTTAAGGGGCAGCAGATTTGCATCAGAGGTTTCTTTGGTAATTGAGGCAGGAAAAAAGGATGCTACATCATATGAATCTTTATGAAATAGTTCCTGCTATCATCTTTAAGGGCACCCTTTTACAAATAAAAAGTGAGTACACAAAAACGTGTGTTGAAAACTAATCTCCCCTCCCCCAACACTATTTTAAGCACTGTTCAAAGCTCAGTCAAACCATGCAAATTCACAAACGTCACGGTCCTCTCTTCATGAGACAACAGAGGGCGAGTGATTATGATTGACCATGTGAGAGGAAGGGGAAGACTGGCCCCGCCGCGAAGCAGACTCGGGACTGCTGGAGACTCCGTCCTTGGCAGCTTTAATCTGAAGCCATGTATCCCCAAGTGCTTTGGCAAAGTGGTCGTCAACTGATCCCGTGATGGACACAGAGTTTGCCACTGGCTCAGGCTCCTTGTAATTCTTGCCAAGGCTTCGGCGGAAGTGCTCTTCCACCACTGGGTCACAGGCAGTGGTAGCTGGATCGGGAAAGGAGGCAGAAGAGGCGTTATTTCAGTGCAGAATCCTGGCACCCCTACTTCCTCCCATTTTCCTATCACCTCAGCATAAAGCTGACTTCTTTACGGCATTATAGAACTGGTAGTGCATGGGGTGGGGAAGGAGCTTGTTAAAATGGAGAAAAAAAAAAAAAAGGGTAATAAATGGCATTAAACATTTTTGCATTTTTCTGACCTGCACCAGGTAAGCGTTTTATATGTAATTATAGTTCTCCCTCAGGGTAGTAACAGCTACAGCTCTGATCCTATGGAAACCCTCTCCCAAAACAATCACATAGAACTTATATTTAGATTTTAACAGAATTAAAGAAGAAACAGTTCTTTAAAATCAGCTCTCCAGCCTGCTGATACCAGTCAGATGTGAGGAGACCCCATTCTAAATTACAGCATGCCAAAAGCTGATTTCAGGGTTTCATCTTGCTTTACGCACTTGTGCCAGGAGCCGGTCAGAAAACTAAATCAATTGTTACCCCTGCATTAGGTACTACGAGTGTTAAAATGGTGTAATACTATCACAAGAGGAACACGGGACCTTAAGAGACAGGTTTTGAATGGTAAGAGTAATAATTCCTCAGACTAAATATGAGAGAGTTGCAGTTTTACAATTTAGAAACAGTATCTGTGTGGTCGAATGAGATTTATCTTTCAAAAATACTTAAAACTGTCCTTCACGCTACAGAAAGGCTTTGATTGTTCCTAAAATAAATGTATCACGCACAAAGACCTCTTCAAGTGACAAGAGACAAATATTTTCTGCAAACCTTTACCACTGTCCCAAAGCCCGTGTCAGTACAGCTGGGGCCTCAATGGAGGAGCTCTCTTTAAGGAACAGCAGTTTTCTAGAAAACTTCCAACATCTCAGATCTCTAACTACTGACTTCTCTAAAAGTGTAATATATCCTCCAGGGTCTCACTTCAGCTTCTAATTCCAGTTTTCAACAATACACTGATTTTTTAAATAAAAAAAAAAAAAATCATCATCTTACTATGGACTTCTAGGTTCCTACACACGTCGTGCCAGTATTGTTACATTGACACGTTCCGGTTGAAGAAGCCTCCCTGCCAGAGACTTGGAAATGCTGCGTGTTAAATCTATGCATCAGCAGACATATGCCTTGAAATGAAAGGGCTGTGCTTTGCCCTAGTCGCACAGGGAGAGAAAGTGAAGAGAAACATCCCAAGGCTCCCCAGCAAGCACTGCATGAAAAGATTTTGTGAAAAGTACTAATTGCACAGAAGGTAGAAAGCTAAAGCTCCCTGCTTGGGTTGCTATAGCAACTGCCCTCCAAAGCGTTTTGTGTTAACCACACAGAGAAAGGTGGAGGGTATGTGCTTTGGAAGAGTATTTGTATCTGCAGGAAAAGATTTTTGTAACTGCAGCTGAATCATAAAAATCTACTGACTACTGAAAGACTGGGGAAACTACAGCTCCAGCTCTTAAAATACGAGCATAGCTGGATCTGCTGGCCCTGTCTGCTGTTTGTCCCCTAGACTAAAATAAACATAATGACTTACTTGTCTGTGTGTGGTGTTTGTTTGCTGGTTTTGGGTTTTTTTTTTTGAAGCTTTTCAAAACCAGAAAAAAGAACACCTCTCTACCTAATTTTGAATGGGTACTTTCTACTGGGGCAGAGGATGGATGGTTAGAAAGAGTGCAGAGGGGATCGGTGCTAGCATGTCTCTGGGTAGACAGGATACAGACAGGTGTCCATTGTTCCCCCTCATTTCTTCCCGTCAATATGTCAGTGGGTACACAGGTAAGGTTAGTGAGCCAGTTTTGTTTGGCAGTTAAGGGTGTTAAGGGTGTGGACATGTAACTTACTGCTAGAGGGTCTTCTGTAGGCAGTCATTGCTGAACCGCAGCCGCTGTGAGCAATGGGGCAATGAGAGAGGTTACAGTTCCGGTTGTTCGCAGAAGCACATGTGATTACAGATGGACGGTTCTAATATGGAAGAAAAAAAGAAAACTGTCACTCACTAAGGCAATTAGCCAAAGCCATATTAGCAGCAGTTCATTGCATAATCACTTGAGATGTACAAACACTGAACTGAATCCCAGCAGTGAAATAACCCATAAACTGTCCAATTCAATAAAGCATATTAAAACCCCAAATATTCAGCTATTATTTCTTTGTCTGATTAAAAAAACCCACACTGCATTTCCATAATGGTTCTTAGTTATTTAAGTGGCAAGCAGCCATACAGAAAAAGGGTAGTAGAAAAGCAAATCATTAAAAGCATTAAAGTGATTTTACAGTGACTGTTTCAACTTCACAGGCATTAACTATGCAGAACTAAATGTCAACACATTAAACACTTGTTTTGTTCTATGTCCACATATCCTTCTGATTCCAGGACTCAGAAGGGCTTTACAAATTTTACAGGTATTTGTCATCTTAGTGTTAACCAAGTTTTAATGTCATTATTTTTCATTCAGAAGTTAAGCTCTCCTAGCCTGACTAACTCTGTATTCCATATTTCAGCCACAAAACAATAAGCCCCTTAAGATGTAAAATTTGAAGAGCTCCTGAGCGAGCCTTGACTGCAAGTATTTTACTGCTGCAATTAATCTGCCTTTCTAGCACATGATAAACATCATCCTTTTTCATCCTGAACACATGCAAATTCTCCAAAATATCTATTCATGTAAGTTGAATTCTACAATATATACTTTGTACAAAGTGTGAACATAAAATACTCTTCTTAAAGTTGTTTACTGTATAAATGTTACATTGAAACAAGGCCTTAGGAAAAGAAATGCCCCCGTTTCTCCAGCTGGCTGAAGGGAAATAACTTGGGTATTGGAATATTTTTGCTTTGCATCTCTGGTCTGTTTTATGATGCAAGGAGTCCATTTTGCTATATTCAATGCAAGTTAATTTTTTAGTGCGCAAAAGATTCACAGAATTGAGGTAATTAACACAGTTTTAATTTCTTGTCCATTTAAAAAAATTTGTGCAGCAGAGCCACAAAAATCACTACCCTACCTACCACCAGACAAAGTCAACAAGGAAGGAAACAGTTTTCATTGTTTGGTGGTACTTTAGTCTAGACAGAGTAAGAGCAAGACCGAAGTAAAGAGATGAGCTTTCAAGGGAAGGTGTAACACTATTTGTCTAGACACAACGGAAATCATGCTATTTACATCTTATTTACTTTTTTTTTACTATGCTGTCAGTGCAGTAAAGAAAAAAGCGATTTATTTCATTTTTCTGTAAGCAGTTCACATGTGGAAGTATTTATTGTCTTTTTTTATATAGGCCAAGATTTTGTGCATCTATGACGCGGTTTTTGATATGTGTATATATGCTTATCTCTTCAGAAGAGTATTTTAGACATGGCAGAGGTGGGAAGTACAGAAAGAGACAGGTAATAAAAAAAGTTGTCTCAAGAATGCATGTACCAACACCACAAAGGATCTGAGGACAGGGTAAGGCACCTTACAGAATCCCCCGATATGGTTCTGTGTATACAGTAGCCCTGAGCAGACTATACATATTTGAATGAAAATACTCAGATAAGCTGAGAATTTAGTAACAGTGACTACAGCAGCTAAGTTAACGCCATGCTGCCAAAATAAGAAGGTATTTTTCCCACCTCTATTAGCAACAGAGCAAGACAAAATCCCATTCAACATGTTAATGTTAAAAAAACACCCCAGAAAACCAAACCAAAAAATCATCAAACTAGGGTTTCTTATTTTCAGTACACTTCTTTCTTTGTATGATTTCTACTCTGTGCTCTTAGCAAGATCTTACCTCAACATCCTATTTTCCCAAGAAAACAGATGTAATCTAGCTCAAAATGTCAAAGATAACAAAAGAGAAAGGAATCTGGTAATGGGCAACAGGAATCAGCCCAAGTCAAACACACCAAAATAGCAGAGTGTCAGTGGTGTTAGCTGCTAGGCTGAGACGCAGCGGTAATACTATCAAAGGGCACCAGTGTCGTCAGTGGAAGCCTGTCCCTTCCTCCTCTGTCATCACTGAACGCCGAGAGCAAAGAAGAGCCGTTCTGCACAGAACAATAACTCTGCAATCTGCGTGCCAAATGATGCAAGATATCAGCAACACTAGTGTAAAGCTAGGCGTTTTGGCTTAGCAAAATGTAAAAGACTAGCGTACACAGCCAACCGCCGTGAAGATCTACACAGCAGATGTAAAGTATACTGCTCCAGTGAAAAGCAGCTTTCATAAATTGCATATGAAAAATTCCAACCTCTGAAAGATCATCCACTTAAAGTGTTTACCCTTTGTAGGGCATCACAGGAGAGGAGGAAGGAAGGATGGACGAACTTGGGTACGCAGGCCAGTTTAATTTCTCAACACTGCTGCTCATCACAACTCAATTATCTTGCTTTGTCTCTCCACTTGTGAGAGGGATTAAAAGTGAGTCTGACATACAAGAAAACGGTTATTTTATAAACTGCACAGAGATGGCTCATCTTCAGCAGTTCTGAAGGAAAACAAATACAAGATGGCAAGCCAAAACCCAAACAACAACCAGCCAAAACAAAACAAACCCCACTCCCACATATGGAAATAAACTAGAAAATAATCAAAAATCATTACTTCTCTTTAGGAAAAGTCATTATGAAATAGTGATACAACATTGCTCTGAACAACGCAGTGAATGCTTTTGGCTGGCTGAAACAACTAATGTCATTCCAGCTTCTTTCACCTGGAAAATTCAGTGCAAAATTCTCCTTGATGCCCTTTCTGTCTTGCACCTCTTCTCCAGCAGTCCCAGCAGGAGAGAGCCAGGAGAGAGGGGAGGGAAGCACGCAACGATTGCCAAGAGGAGCACAGATGATTACCCTCTATATCTATGAACTACATCAGTTATTGCCTAGCAGGTAGTGGAGCCTTGCTTAACCACAGAGCAACTCAGACTCTGCATTCCCAATTAAAACACATGCATTCACAAGCTTAGAAAAGCATCAGAAAAAAGCAGGAAGCCTAAGAAATCTGTGACAGATACATTTAAGCATCGGCAGTTTATTCACGTTAAACACAATGAGCCATGACATTCATTGTGCATTTTGAAAACACATTTCGCCTGAAGAATGGTATCGCCTACCTACTGTAACTCACAATACACTCTGCTTACATCTGGGAAGTCCTCGTTGTCTCTCCAGCAAAGACTCCTAAACCCACCCCGAGTTTCTTGTCAACTAGAAACCAGTACCTGCTGCCGTTCCACAGAAGTCAGTGTAGGTGTGATGCCAACTGTTCGGGTTGCATCCATGCTGTTTTTGGTCAGTGCTAGAGGTTGATCCATGGTCAAGCTTGGGATTGAGGCATACATGTGATTGGCATGAAGGCTCATAGTTGGGGCAGCTGCCCTCTCTATTGGGCTGCGACTCCTCTCTCTGTGCTCCTTCCGATAATCTCCATTGGCAGTCTTGTTTCTAATACATGAAAGAGAGAAAAAAGTCAAAGGACTTACTATTGTTACAAGCTATAATGAGACATGCAACATTAAATCCCTTTAAGAAACATGAGGCATTTTGCTTGGTTGTGAGGAGGGGTATAGAATCGCTCAGTGAGGTATCCCTGGTCTATCCAGCCACCTTGCTGTGAAGATAAGCCAAAGATTTACATTTGCAAGCTCTGGCAACCAATGGGTTTTTTTCAGCCTAGAATTTCATCAGATACCTATCTAAAACCACCAAGTTAAAGGAACAACTGATCATGTTTTGTTAAGGTCAGACACCTCCTCATTTAACATACTATTAATCCCACTCTGTCCCCTAACACTGCAATATTCTCTAAGCATTACTGAAGCCCGAGAAAAGTTCATTTTACTCAAAAAGACATGGGTTGATACCAGCAAAATGCAGTGAGTCAAGGCAGGAAGCAAAATTTTCAGATCAGAAAATGAAGAAAAAGCAAACTATGCTGCAATTATCTCAGAATCGTTTAATTACAACCGTTCTTTAAAAGAGTAATTTCAAACTACTACTGAACAGTAAATCTCAGTAGATGTACTCACATAATTAGCCTATCATTCACTGCAATTAAAGTCATACTGATTTTGTACTTAAGTATGAGATATTTCAGTTTCCATACAGCAATACAATCATCATTAAAGGCAAACCAGTGAATCAAAGGATAGGTACTTCATTCATACTGGTGAAGGCAGTCGTTCATAACCATTAGCCAAGAAAGCACAGGTACCACTGGCAGCCTGTAACATACCAGTATGGTAAGAGTCACCTAGTGCCTCAGTGTGAAAAGGGAAGCTCAGGTGATCTTTCACTTAAGCATGAGCTGAGGAAAAAGCTGGTTCTACAGAAAATACGGTCTGTCTTCAGAAGACTCTTGAAGTAATAGTGAAGTGTCCTAGATGTCCTCTGTACAAGTGGGTAAAATCAATTTACAAGGTGTTTTTCCCCTGCTTTTTTAAAGATTGCTGCTGCATATCAGTTTGCTATGTTATACTTTAAAATGCTTTGATGATATTAGGCAGAGATAGAAAAGGAATAGAAAAATGTTTTCTGTAATACTAGAAACCAAGATGTACAAATAGTATGCAATATTGAAGTAAGTTACAACTCCAAGAAGCTACTGCCTATTTCAACATCTGAGAAAGTCTCTCAAAAAGGAATGCCCACAGCTGAGAGGAAAAAATAAGCCCTGCCAACAGGGGAAAATAAAGAACCCCAAAGCTTATCAACAAAAATGCTATAGAAAACCTTCCAGGTTTCTGTAAGTGAAATACTTACTTAGATTTATCTAATGGTTACTTGGTTTATGTTAGTTAAAAACAGACAATAACACTACTCTGTCTTAAGTTGATTTCTCAGTATCATCTAAAAATCAAACCAACACTGGTGTTCACATTCATTCTCCAACACCACACCACTACCTCCCACTGTTCACACACACACACTGGTGCACCATTTCAGGCCGGCAGGTTGGCCCAGCGCCCCTCACGTGGCATGGCGACACAGCCATGCTGGCAGCATCAGGGACAATCTGAAACCCCAGTACAGGGTGCGGGGATGCTCTGCCATAACCTGCCCCATAACCTGCCCCGGCAGTCAGGGGTGCTGGCTGTGTTGCACAGCATTTGTTTATGTGCCTTTCAAGACCATGTAAACTCTTAGCCTCAACAGCATCCTGTGGCAATGGATTCCACAGTTTAAACTACACGCTTTGTTAAGTACCTTATCTTCATGGGCTCTTCTTTTGTTTCTTTTTCACCTACAGTCTAATGGCTCAGTCTGCTACTGCCCTACTTCTTGTATCAGGACAGAGAGAAAGCCATCACTTCCTGTTGACCATCTCGTGTCACTCCTGAGTTCATCTGTGTTCAACCGCCTTTTTTCCTCCAAGGTACTAATTTTTTCAAATAAAAACTGTTGCCACATCTTTGTCATCATTGTGGCCCCTCTCACGTAAGAGCTAGAAAAGCTATAATCTTTCTTGAGATGAGGATGCAGATCTGTGCTGTATTCAGGAGCAGGACCTTTGCTGAACTCATCACAAGTCTTCAGTGCTATTCTTCAGCCGGCTCAAGAGTCACTTGGTTGTATAAGTTCAAAATCTGCTATTGCCGCCTGACTCAAAACTCATTTATCACAGTACAAGTTAGGGTTAATACGGTACCAGGCAACCAGTGACTTGAGAACCTCGGGACACAGCTGATTCTCTATGCCAAATTCCCCTGACATGCTTGGGAGGAACAGCCAACAGAATAACAATACAATTTGTAACCGTTTGGATCCCCCCACCCAGCCCCCCCGCCTATCGCTTCTCCTTTTTAACTAATTACAAATTAGTAGTTGCAGATTAGCAGAATCAACCATAAAATCTAACCTTCAAGGTTTCACAGCTGGCGCTCAAGATGTTCTCTGAAAATCATGTTTCTTGAATCCTTCTTTATAGGCCCCATTTAGACACAATAACGCAGCACTCCAAGCGCCAGGAAATACATTCTCACAGTGCTCCATTTCGATCTTTTGCCAGCTTTGGTACCATTTCAATTCACAAGACTACTTTGCAGTATCAGCATTCAGAAGAAAGAAGTTTAGAATTGCATTGCTCTGAGCTAATGACTGATGCAAATGTGTGACTTAATGGCAGCACAACGGACTCTATATTTAAAGTACAGTAGCCTCATCTTGAATTACAGTACTGAAACAGCTACTGAACACAGCAAACTAATCCTTCACCACCCCTGAGGAAGCAAGCATGGAACTTCATAAATAGTACGCCTTTGCAGACTGTTTTTGTACCTGGACAACAGCCATTAGATAGCCTGGGAAATAATAACATGAAAAGACATAGCTAAGATCATTGTTCAAGGGATAAAGGCAATGCTGTGTAGAGATGGCTCACTCTTCTTGCTGCAATGCAGTATCTTTGGTGGCTGCAAGCCAAAAATCTTAGTTTTCAACTAAATATTATCTGGTCTACTACAATTTAAATAACTATTTGGAGGCTGCAACACCACACACAGCTCCAGTAGATTCCTACTTTTCACTGCCTCAAAATAAAAAATAAAAATAAAAATAAACCCTGTTCAGAATTTTTATATTTTAATAAGCACAAGCTGATTTTCAAAGGAAAAAACTTTGTTTCCTCCACCAAAAATACTTGTAAAATGAAACAAAAAAAACGTAGCTACACCAGTTGTCTGAGGGTTTTTTTCTTAGAACTGGGATTTCAACAACTCAGTGCTGCATTGACAGGGGAAGGAGGGGGGCGGGGCTCTCAAGTGAGCAGTGATGAACAAACCTACTGAAATTCCCTAGCAAAAGAAATTTTCCATTTTACACAACAGCACCTATTTCACTCATCCTCACTTTAAACAAAAAGTCACAGCCCTAAATATTGGTGAAGTGGTAGTTTTGGTGCAAAAAAGTAATAAACAAATGAACTCTTCTGCAAAGATTTTTGGAAGAAGGGACCAGCAAACTGAGAGCTGGGATCAGTCTGAGGCCAGGAAGCGCAGCACAGTAGGCAGACCTTCCCTAAAGATACCTAAAATTATTGAATTATCTCAGCAATCTCAGCAGACCACACCCTAGCCCTTTCTGTAGGCAGATAATTCCCTCTTCTTAAATTAGAACAACTCCTCTTCCGGGCAGGGAACAGTTTATACTCCACTCCTCAAAAATCTTCTCCTCAGTTCCTCTACCTTCAACTATATAGTCTTAGCAAAAAAGAGAAAAATAGCTAAGGCTTCTACTTCCACATCAGATATTATTTTTTCTGAGCCCAGCTGAAAATTTTACAGCACCGGGCAGAGTAGTAACATGATACCTCTGCCCTTGTGAAAATATACCAGCACTTCTGAGTCCCTCCTATTTAAATATAAATAGCAAATCCTACAGACATCTGACTCCACTTGTAAAACAATTGTACAGAAAATTATTTATAGAGTATTCATCAATTTCATATTATGAAATAATTTTAGTTGAAAATCTAACTTTAAAAATAATTTTCTGTTAGAAACTGAAAGTTTGTTACAATTTTTTTAAATTATTATTAGTGAGATAAGTCATTCTTGTTTTAGTATTAGATGTTTTGTCTGAAAGGGCAATCAAAATTGCCTGTCTTTGAAGATAATTATATTTCACTAACGTGAATTAGCGTAAAAATTCCACAGGCACTGAACGAGTACAGAGATACATCTCTTAGTTCAAACATGAGGGCAGAAAATTACATAGAAGGATTTCTGACCATGTTTGAAAAATAATTCAAAAATACATGCTACAAGTAAATCTAGCTGTCCAAACAGCTTTACCATCCCCTGACTCCACTGTGTCTTAGAAATCAGTATATCTAACTCTGGACTCCATCTTCAGTGGTGAGTCTGCCAATGCATCTCCACTGGCTTAAGAAATAGCCAGCAATTAATATCGGTGAGAACCTGAGCAAACATCAGGCAGCGGGACGCTATTACATCAGCCAGCCTCATCACCCTTTACTTCCCCTCTAACAGAGGTATTCAAGCTACCTGCAGGTTTATTTTACCAAAATTATACATGATTCCAACCTTAAATTCATTTCTCCAACACTTGAAAAACAGACATTGTTTTCCATGTTTCTCCCCAATGAATCATAACCGAGGCTCCAGCACTTACCAAGCATCATGTGCTCAGATGGATGTCATACCAAAACCACACACATCCTGACTGTTAGCTGAAAGTCTGCTTCAGTTTGCTTCTAAATAATGTTTGTTAATTGAAAGCAATGTTTCAGTCCTCCTCAGGAACCAGTTCAAAGGTAGCGAAAATGCATTGTTCTTAGTATTTTTTTGTTGTTGTTGTACACCCTTTAAATGCGGCTGTTCTGTTCCCTGGCACAGAGTGGCGGTAATTCACACTCATCTTACAGGAACAGCCTAAGGCTGCCAGCTGCTTAAGGAAAAGGGAAAAAAAAGAGGCCCACCGAAGGG